CTCTCTCTCTCTCTCTCTCTCTCTCTCTCTCTCTCTCTCTCTCTCTCTCTCTCTCTCTCTCTCTCTCTCTCTCTCTCTCTCTCGCCCCCGCCCCCATCCACATCTGTTTGTATCTCTTGATTTCCACGTACCACATCATCTTCAAGGCGAACCCCACCAAATCCTCGCAGATGCTCTATGGCGTCAACATTCAAAAATTTGGACTTCATGTCATCTTCAAGAGCTTGTTGGAGGAGGGCGTCGATGAAGTAGATCCCAGGCTCAACCGTCAAAACCTGCGCCACAGATGATAAGTCAACTCAGTCATTAATTTGGCAGCTCATCAATCAAATGACTGATCTTCTCACTCACTCTCTCTCTCCCTCCCTTCCTCCCTCTCTCCCCCTCTCCCTCCCTCCCTCCCTCCCTCCCTCCCTCCCTCCCTCACTCACTCACTCACTCACTCACTCACTCACTCAATTACTCAATTACTCAATCAGTCACGCCCAGTTTACGCTTCAGGAAGATTATAGATATAGACAAGACACAAAAAAACAAACAAAGAGAGAAAACAAAGACCCGACATTCAACAGGTCGCGAGCCCGCAGCTTATGTGGAACGAGTGTGGCAATTTAGAATCCAGCAGCACTGGAAAACTGACTACTGTTTTCATCCGAATAGAACGCCAGTTCCCCATAGCTGTATTTGGGGCAACTTCCAGTCTAGATACAGCGACGATGACTGGGCGTTCTGGTCGGGTGAAGACATCATTAGGGAGCAGGAGGATAAGGTTGCGGCCTGGATTTGATTGTAGCAAGAAACACAAGAGTACGAAAGGGCCAAGCCCAATTGCGACTATGTCCATCCTTACAAAGAATGAGTGTAGTCGTAAAAGAGGCTAGGTTCATGCTAGCAAAGCATAGACATGGCACCTGTGCCCCCTGACTATCGCATACCGTAAAGGTGCAGACCAGAACAAGAACCGACCTCTCTCACATAGTACAAGATAGCACAGCGGAAGGCTTAAATACCAATGATCCGAACCATCAATGTTGCCATGCAGACCAGACATACATCATCATCATTCCATGGTGTGAGGGGGCCTGGCGCTCACACAGGAAGAATGCGCCAGTCCCCAACCAAACACAGACGAAGAAGACGGGGGTTAGACGAAGAAGAGGGGAAGATGGGAATGTCGCCAACACACAAGTCTTTGGTACAGATCCCAAATAATCCCTCGTCAAATGTCTGAATCCCAATATCGAGTCTGGACCCAAATGTCGTCAAGTCCCAAAGTCACCAATCTCTCTCTCTCTCTCTCTCTCGTAGTCTGCAGATACTGAGAAGTCAGGTAGCGAGAGGGGGAGGAGGAGATGGTGGACTTAGAAGAGGAAGAAGAACACACACACACACACAGTCCGGTACTAACCTGTGAAGGTGGCGCCTTGTTGCAGGTACATCGAAGACGAAGCTGGAGGTATGGCGCCACAGGTAAGTCTCCCTGGCCTCCGCCAACCATCTCTCTCTCTCCACTACTACTCTAGCTCCTGATAGCACCCAGCACTGAAGACTACTGCTAACGCTACTACTACTACTGCAGCGCTCCTCCAGAGTGCTGCTGCCGAATCCTGAAGACTGCCTCCTGCCTCCTGCACGTGAAGTGCCTGGGAAGTTCCTAGGAACTGCCTCGTGACCCTCCGCAGCCTGTAGGGCGGGCCAGTCTTATATAGTGCTGGCCCGTCCAGGAGGCTGCTCTTGCCAATGCCGAAACTTGCCAGACCCTAGCGTTGAAGTTCAAGCAAGGGTTGTCTTGAAAACAGGCCAAAAATGGCCTGTGCGAAAACCCTGGTCTGGTGCCCAAGTTTCAGGGCAGGTCGATCTTATGAGGGCCTGAAATGGCCCTCCGTTTCAGGCTGAAAAGACTCAGGGCTTAGAGGGCCTTGTTTTAGGCTGAAACGACACACGGCCTGTAGGCCCTCGTTTTCAGGCTCTCAGGCTGAAAACGACACAGGGCCTGTAGGCCCTTGTTTTCAGGCTTTTAGGCTGAAAACGACACAGGGCCTGTGGGCCCTTGTTTTCAGGCTTTTAGATTGAGAACGCTGGTTGGGCCAAGTTTCAGGGGTTCGGGGCGCTATTTGAACACAATGGCTGGTGCCGCCAGCCAAAAAGAAGAAAAAGGGCACTGCGTCCGGTTCTTTTTTTTATTCTTTTTTGGTGCGCAGCGCTTTGGGGGCTCGTAAAAAAAAAAAACAGCCTCACAAGTACAGGTGCTTTAAGAGAGGCAACCAACGTTCAACGAATCCTTGCTATTGCTTTGTTCTGTTGTATTCAATGTATTGTCAAATACGACATGCGGGTGCACAGTATCTGGAATGTCGATCCCAACAAACAGAATGGAGCAGTGTCCATAAAGTCATGTTTTGACAAAAGTGCGAGGATCTGGGTCCTCGGCAGGCCTAAGGGCCCCCTGTTGCATCTGTGCCCGCCCTAAGTGACGGCGGGCCTAACAAATCACGAGAGGCCCTCGGCTGTCAATTTCGTATTTGGGTCCAGGCAGTTTCGTCGCCCCAGTTCGTTGAGGAAAAACACAGGCCGAGCAGCGAGACTTTCGACGGCCTTCCAGGCCTTTCCAAAATGATGCAGGCCCTGGACGAGAATGGTAGCCTCATACACAGACAGTTGGGAGGCCCAACCGAATGAGGCCCAGTAGCTGCAAGAGAGGCGCAGCATCCTGGGGCCTACCGGAAGCTTCTGGGCCCAGGCCAGTCCAGCCAGGCTGCCGAATGAGGCAGGCTCTTTCCATATWGGAAAGAGCTCGCTGCCTGGCCAGGCATTCGGACACTCGCATGATGGCGGCAGCGCTGCTGGAGCTGATNCTCGCATGATGGCGGCAGCGCTGCTGGAGCTGATTCTCGTGGGCTGCTGCTAGCGCTGAGAGGCGAGGTGCAAGCATGTGTGGTCGTGCAAGGAGGAGGGTGCTGCTGAGGGGAGCGCCATAGCCCAGCCTTCATAGCTGGCGGGCTGGGATGTACAGTGAGGCGCAGGGGTGGTCTTCGGGTGTACAAAAGGGAAGACGCGGGAGAGAGACAAGGGAGAGAGAGAAGGATGATGATGATGATGATGTGAGGGCACATACCTGGTATTGGCGATGGTCTGCATGGGCGACATCTTCAAATACTTTGGAGGCTGCTGACGTCAACAGTTGCATTGTCAATTAGTAGGCTAGTAGTAGCTGTGTAGGGAGTAGGCTGGGCGCCAAGCGCCAAGTAGGGAGAAAGGGACTGGATACATATGTAGGTGGTGGCACGAGCAAGCTCTCATTGACATTGGTTTTCAGTGCTACGATTCTCCATTGGTGTCATATTGCTGCAATGCTGCTTTCTGTTCACTGTAATACGATCTGGCTTTCAATGTGATTGTGCGATCTGAATATTGTCATCTCGCTTCTGTTCAGTTTCCTTGCAATTTGGTATCGGAGCTGGTTCGAACTGCGCTCATTGGTTCTTCGCAAAAGCTGTTCGGTGCTTCACATGAGATGTGGGGCAGTGATAAGGCTTGGGTGTTCAACGTAAGGCGGCCCAGGGTCGTGTGGGCACGCCAGGAAGCTATGTGGTGACATTAGGGGTGTACGCTGGATGATGAGAGCTCGCTGATGTGGCGTTTAAGCCGAGGTGGAACTGCATTTTGCTGTTGGTTGTGCCAAGGCAAAGACCGGTCATCATAAATGCACATCAGGTTGCCGGTGAGAAATCTGTGGTTGGGGGCAGCATTATGAGGTACGTTGCTTCCTTCCTTATCTACCCTCTAAATTGCTTCTTACCGTGAGGAAGTGAGTTATGTCTTGAGAGTCCTCTCAATGTGAGGTGTCGTGAGCGCTCAACCTTGAGAGTCGACATTCTTCCTGGGCAGCAAGCTGGTGGGAGACGGGCGTTGCCTCTGAAGGGCCCTGGACGAAGCACTCGGGTCACGGTCACCATGCCAACCCGCTGGGACTAGTACACGCATGCTTTGCCACAAGTCCTTGGTTCTGCTGCTGCGCAATAGAGGTCATGCAGGGCATGCCAGCCCTTTGAACAGACGCTTACCAGACCGTCTTTAAATATTTCTGACGGGGACTTGGTGTTGATTCTGGCTGTGATCGTCGTCTTGTTTGCGACGTTAAATAATTCCTGAGGAGTTACGGGGGATCTCCTTAAATGCCTCTTGATCAGCCAGATTAAACCGGGTGTAAGGCTCGTTGCATGCGAGGATAAATAATGTGCAGGGGCTGGCAGGTTCGGCGTTGACTTGGGGCGCAGGGGTGGGCCGGATTGCACACCTTTAGACACGCTGCTCAACCAGATGCTCAGGGCGTTGACACAAAGCGATTACTCAAGAGGGATACAGGGAAAGGGTTGGATTCTGACAATTGTTCGTCGTGGCATTAATTGGATAAGCAGCCATTCAGCATACATCTCTGCAGGGAGCATTATTTTTATTTTTGATTATTTAGTTGTTACGGACTTGACTAACAACTGACAGACAGTTGCAGATAGAGTAGCATATTCTTTGCTGCATTGCAATCTGTATTAGAGTAATCTAAAAATAGATTTAATATTCCCTGTAGGATCTGACATTGGTTGACACCTAACCACCTAACTGTTTCTGTCCAGCCGACCGAAGTTAGTTGTGTATCATAAATCAGTTTTGTGTCATGCTGAGGTAGGATTCATTGTGGATTCTAGTTTAGATCACATACATTGTAGCTCATGAGTGATGCAAGCAGTAGTGAGGAGTTGTTAGTGGATGACCTTAGGGCCACTCGAAGAACTGCTCTCAGTCGACCCTTGACTTTCCTAGAGTTAGGTCCAGGAGACTGGAGAAGACTGCGGAGAGAGGCTAGAGAGAGAACAACGGCAAGAAGAGTGAGGGTGGCTGAGGCCAGCGCCAGGTCTAGAACTACAGCTAGTATCGGTTCGATCATGGTTACCTCCTCTACCATGTTGCAGGCCTCTACACAGGCCACTTCGTCAGGAGTCAGTCAGAGTGGTTCTCAGGCTTCCGTTAGCCAGAGTGTTGGCTTGCAAGTCAGCCAACAGGCTCAACTCACGCCGGAGGATTATGAGATCTTCCAAGCGGAAGAACTTCAGGATGAGCTAAAGCGGCAATTGGATGAGGCAGTAGAGAGAAGAAGGAGAGTTATTTTGAGAAAAAAAACAGACTAGGGAGTAGGAGACAGGCAGATTAGGCAGATTAGAAGCATTAGACGAGTCAACACTTGACCCTACGATGTGAGTGCTGCGTAACTCGCTTCTTT